GATGGCTGGCAGGGTTTGTGACTGGTCCTGAATGTCATGCGACACTTAGTTCCAGACGGCAGACCATGTCCGGTCGGGATTCATCAAAGGATGGAAGAAGAAAGACAATAGTGCTAGGAAAGCCAATATTCAAAATCCAAATCTGATTCTGGAAAATATTTCCCACCTTTATGATGAGCCCAGAATTTGAAAACTGCCGCACCTTAAAGCGTGCAGATTGCAAACCTGAACTGATTGTGCGTGCTGCCACTGTGTGCGAAGGAATACTGATGCTGTGCGTCCTTCCTGCCTGTTTTAATACTGCCACCCTATAAACCTGTTTACAACCAAATAATCCATGCAGAAATTGCACAGGTTTCGTTAATAATGCTTGGCAAACAGCATGGCCTGGGTATCAACGTCATGGTCTGATCTCTAGGCAACAGCTTCTCCTCCTCCTTGTACTGTTGCTCTTTCTGAAATGGGAGGGATAAAGAGTATTAATAAGAACCGAGGCAGGCTGTAAAGACAGCACACCGCTTGGGAAGAGGGTGCTGCTGTATCTTCACTAATAAATCAGGATCATTATCACACCAGGGGAGAGAAAGAGAACCCAGAGCAAAGGCATCTGGTGTGAATTATATCTCTGAGCCTGCTGGAGCTCTTTGTCTTCCCGAAGCACTTGCTTCAGCTAAGCCTTACTGCCTGCCAGCAGCCATTAATCCCATCCACTCCTGCCGGAAAGCTGATACCGGGCCGAGGCAAATATTTCTTGTGTCTTGACAGTTTGGGTTTTGGGGTTTTTTTCAATACTTGCTATAATGAGCAAGAGCCCAGAATGCTCGGAGTGCTTTCTGCAGGGTCTACGGATGTGCGTGTGTCAGCGCAAGAAAATACAAAAGCCAGAGCAGCTTTCTCTTTGTGCAAGTTCAATCGCCCCTTTTGGCTCCAAATACATGTGCATATATAAAGAGAGGAGTGACAGCTGCTGAGCACAGGGACTTAACTACAGCACCGTGTCTCTACAGAATCCATTTCCTATATAGTACTTTTCCTTCAGGGGAATTTGGCGGGGGGGGATGTGGGGGGAATGCCAGTAGCAAAACTCCTGAATTCATTAGTTTCTGGTTTCACCTAGACTTGTTAAGACACAAATGCCCTGAATATGATTTTCTAAGAGTAATCCTGACTTATGCAACTAATCCTATTTGTATTTTTTTTTTTTTTTTTTGGAGGGAGGGGAAACACCAAAGGTGCTTTTTAGCTTCAAAGCTTGCTTGGACAAAGCTGTCTTCATACACTGGTAATGTGATGCCAGAACCACGGCCTGAAGACCTGTTTCAGGTGATGCATGCTAACATAACACAGCATGTCAGAGAATATTTTACAGACATTTGCTCAGTATTTATGTCAGATTTTCCCAGGGTTTACCATGGTACAGTACTAGCACTTACTTGAGTAAGAGCTTGCATTTTTCAGCCAGTAAAACCTTATGGATTGGTCTGATGGTCTTTTGTTCCTCAGCAAAGAAGGTGGAACGTGAACCCTCGATAACCAAGTCTGTATTTTTTTAGAAATAAATGTGAGTCACAAGAATAGATTTGACCTACTTGTTCTATAAAATGACACAACTAATGCCAGCAAGCCCTTGTTGCGGGGTTTGTCTCAATGACACCTAAGGATGTCATTAAGCAGCTGCATTTTATGGGCGAGTGTGGTGCCGCTGCCCTCTAACAGAACATGCTATTTTATGCCCTGCACATTTTCAGCATCCTCATTCTTACACCACTTCCCTCTGCTGCTAGTCTGGAACTAAAATACTGGATTCCTGACAGCCATCACCAGCCTGTTACAAAGGGGCTGGGTCTCCTCCAGTTGTTTGTTTGGAGGCAGCCTAATAACTTGGCATGGCAACGCGGAACAGGGGTAGATCTCAGCACTGCTTTTCTCCTCTGTGGAGACTGATTTAGACTAATTGTTTCCAAATGAACATAGCCAGCAGCTGGGCAGGTTCTGAAGCCGTGGCTCGCAAGCTGCTCTGCCTTGCATGAAGCATATTTTGATGACCGGGGGCGGGCTGAATGAATGAAATTCTCATCCCCGAATTGTTGATTTGCAGTGCCTCATGCCAGTGCTCTTGAGGAGCTAGGAAAGAGCTGTGTGCTGGATGTTTACCAAGTGCTGAATAATGCATGGTAGTGAATCACACGCAGATTTCCCTTTCTTCCTATTAGAATTATTGTAAGCAGTAATAGTTGACCCAGAACAAAAATAACTCCAACAGACGATGGTATAGTGAGGTATTAGGGGACTCCCTATCTAATAACCAAACCTTAAACACTGAATTTACTGTTTCAAAAAAGTTTTGACTGCAGTACATTACAGCAAGTGGTGTACTAAGGCCTTTCCTTTAAGGAAAACAAGAAAGAAAAACAAAGTGGTAAAAACTGATGCTTAAATGTTACAGTAGCTCATTTAAATTAAATGTAAAGTTTTTCTGTTTGCTATAGAGAGGGAAGCAACGATAACAAATGGTGACAGGTAACATGAGAGAGGATGGGTGAACAGGTTTTTCTGAATAATACCTAATGAACTGGATAAAACAATGGAGCAGCAATGGAGTTTAGGGGACCCTCGGTATCACCAGAAACTCCTCCAGAAGGAGGTGTCCCAGGCTGGGTAACAATCCTGAGTTACCTGGATAACAATTGTTTGTTACTTCTCTCTCCTTAGGCTAGCACAGAGGAATAATTAAGCCATTCCAATCACGTAGACATTGCTGACTGTTCCTGGCTTAGCTTTGCTTTCACTGTTTCTGTTTCGTTTTGTTATCAGATTGCATGTGTGAAACGGAGAAGGGACAATATTTATAAGTTCAAGAGAAGACAAAAAGATAAACTGTCTGAAGTAGTAAAATTAAATGGATCCAAGTTAGAGCTGCCTTTGTTGCTCCAAACAAGAGAAACCCTGTTTCTTGTGGTGAGGGGGGCTGGTGTTATTCATACTGCTAGTAATAGTGAGCAGGGTGACAGATCATCAATACTCCTTTTCCTGGAGCAGCACCTTTCTCTTCTGCTGTTCTGGTCCCTCCAAACAGTTTCTGCCTCCAGTATTAATAATATTAGGCTCTAAGTCGTTCCAGAGGTTTCCTTGAAGTCAGCAGGTTCCATTATTATTTGTACTCTCGGGGCAAAGGACCGTCACAACTGATGTGTTAGGTGGTTGTTAAGCTCTGGATTTTGCTCTCATGAGTTATGACTTCTCCAGCTACAAAAGCTGTGCGATAGCAGAGACTTGGGGTTACGGCTACAGCAGCAACAGTGTGGTAGCACGCAATAATACCGCAGTCTGCAGCGCTTGTAGCACAATATAATGGGACAAAAACAGTCCTACACCACCTGATGCATTACTGAAAGATGGTTGTTTTCATTAAAAATCACTAAATGCCACTTTTGATATGCTGCTGTTACACACCTGAGTCCAGTTCTGACCAGCTCTGCAGAACAGCAAGCTCCTTTTTGTAGAGCATGGTTTTCAACTTCAGAGCATGTTCGTTTCTGCAAAGCTGCTGCCTGTGCTTTTTCCTGACGTAGAAAAACACTTCTCAGATCAACCGACTTCCTTGCAAGGACTGATAGCTGCTGCTGTTTTCCCCAAGACAGGAACACTGTAGTTGCACATTTTTGCCATTTCCTCGACATCGCCTCAGTGGCAAAAATCTCTTTGTCATCAACTTGATGTGTGAGCACGTATCATATACGCATGCCACTTGGCAATACCTATAATTGAGGGACCTCTGGCTTCCACCGACTGTAATTTTCTGCTTTCCCAAGGCAAGGATGTATGCAGGTGCTGTCCTCCCGCTCCCCATGCTGAAAGCAACACCTAGGGGAATACAGTCTGCTCAAGTACAGTGTGCTGTGGAAAGCATTTGTAGGCTTAAGTGCTTTGCCTCAGCTTCTCCTAGATCTCAAAAATACTGTATTTTGTAGGTACATAAAGTTATTTCTCTATATATGTCTAATTTTCTATGTTATATACAGAGATGCTGGTGATCATGTTAACCACCATAGACGATAATAAGAGGGAGGACATTTATCCTTGGTGAGAGACAGGATTTCTCTCGTTTGGAGGTGGAGGCAGCTTTGAGTTAGATCCGTGCCTTGCTGCTTCTCTCTTCATTTGTTTACAATTTGCTGTTTAACTTCAGCCATGGTAGGTCATTTTAAAAGGCTTATTGTACACATGCTTATCGCACAGCTCTCTCAATCTTTCACTGCCTACACGAGGGACAGCACTTCATTCTTCCCTCTGTTCCCAACCTATTGCTTTTTGATATCTCTCAGATTCCTTCTGTACTGGGATGCTTGCCTCAAAGAAAATGACTAAAATGACCAGAACTGTACTGCTGGGTCAGGCAGCTTCTCCCCGAGTGTTCTTCTTTGGAGACTGACCCTGCAAAACCAGCTGGCAGGAGTGCTGGGGCTGGCTGTCGTGTCGGGAGAGCACGTTTCCAAACCTGAACGGTGACTGATGGTGACACTTCGCTTTGCTCAGAGGCGCGTCACTCTCTAACTGAAGCCTGGTTCCCTTTACGTTCGTTCTCAGGGCTTTTTATTGTTGCTCAGTTTTTGGCGTTTTTTAACTTTACGCGTGCTGCGCTACAGGGAGACACCTCCAGTCCCTTCTGCTTTTACATCAGTTTTGGTAATTAAAGGTGGTAATTAAGAGCACCTCTTCTCCTGCAGGCTGGAGTAACGCCTTTCTCTGTCCCACGGGCCGTGCCTAAAAGCCAGGCTCTCCCTTACAGCACAGCCCAGCGTCCTCTTCGGGTTTTCCCGATGCTTTTCTTTTTTTCGGCCTGCAGTTTTACCTTCGTGCCCCGCTGACACAGCCGTCTCCCACCCGCGGCTGAGGGGGCGCGGGGGGGGGCTGCCATCCCCGCCTCCCCTCACCCCTTTCTTCAGCGAAAGATGCTGAAAAACGCCCTTTTCTCTAACAAACTCCCTTTTCTCTAAAAGGGGGAGGCGGCTCCCGTAAATCGTCTCCTAAGCACCTTTCGGAAATTAATCTGCGGCTGACGGCACCGCGCTGTCGCCACGACCAGCCTGAGGGGAGGGAGAGGGGAGGGAGGCGCCCCCCCTCAGTGCGCATGCGTGAGGGCGGGCTGCGGGAGCGGCCGGCAGGGGGCGGTAGGGGAGCTACGCGCCGCCCACGCATGCGCCTTGCGCGCCCCCTCCATGGCGGCAGCTCTCCGGTATCCCCGAGCCCTCACGGACGGCACCGACCGCGGCGAGGCCTCGCGGGCCGCTTCGGAGACGCTGCGGGGCGCCGACGGCGCGGGTGGGGGGGTGGGAGGAGGCTGCGTTGCCCGTCCGTGAGCACCGGCGAGCGGCGGAGCGTTACCGGCTTCCGCAGAACGCGGTAAGCGGTGGGTGAGGGCAGTGCGCAGGCGCGAAGGCAGAACTGGCTGGGGCATGCGCAGTGCGGACGTGGCGCACCGGAAGCGCTGCGCCGCCGTTTCCGGCTGGAGGTTCCTCCGGCTGTCAGCGGGGCGGTGAGCGGGCGGCAGGGCCCGGGGCCGGGGTCGGGGTCTGGATCTGGATCTGTGGGGAGCCCTGACGGCAGGAACCGCGAAGCACCGGGCTCCGGTGAACGCTCGAAGTACCGGCCCTCGGCCTGGCGGGAGGCTGGAGCCGCGACGCTTTGCTGCGGCCTGCGGCAGCGCCGGGCGAGGCTGGGGTTTGGCTGCGCTCGCTCGGGGGCGGCGAGGGGCGGAAGGCGGGGGGGG